ATCTATTCGGTTTTGAATCTCAGGAACAACTTTTAGAATTATATAAACGTCAATGCCGTGAAGATCGTATTTTAAAACATGATCCTACCGTATGGACCACTAGTATGATCTTATGGTTCTTACGGTTCTTATTAAAGGATTACAGAAGTGAATGGGGTGGTGTTTATGAACGTGCTGAACAATACGTTAGCAAAGTAATTAACGATTTAGAAATTGAAGAAACTGTGGTTGCTACCGGCAGAAAAGCTGTTCGTGAAAGATTTGATATCAAAATTGATAATGGTCTGTATAACTTATTTTATCTTTTTTCTATTATTAAATCTATTTTTAAATTATTTATATTATTCTTTACTAATTATTAATTATTTATATTATTCTTTACTAATTATTAATTATTTATTATTATTCTATTCTTATTTAAATAGATTCTAAAACTAAACGACTTACTAGAGAAACTATCTCAATCACACATATTAGACGTCTTCTTAAATGTCAGCAAAGTACTGGTGCATATCAAATTAATGATGATTTTGCAAAATCCCTTGGTTATGAAAATATGGAAAAACTTCGTATAGCATTCGATGAATTTAAAGATAAAAAATCCAAATCACAAAAAATCTTTCAAGTTAGTCTTCAAACATGGATGACAATGCTTATGCTTTATTTCTATCGTTACGTTGCTATTGATCAAAGGAAAGAATGGCACCATACATATGAAAAGTCTTATAGATGGGTATGGGCTCAATTAAAGGGTAACGAATCCCTTGAGCAAGAATGTTTTGAAATTGTTAAATCATTTGTCAAGGAATATCATGGTGTAAAGGATGATGTTTTGGAATCGGATCGTGCTTTTGAAGGTGAACTTTTAGAAGTGATAAATTCTATCAAGTATCCACAACAAGAGCGAGGAATCGGTAATAAAAAATTTTATTTTTATTTTTATTTATTTAATACCAGCGATGTACTTATTTTTTAAAATTTTATAAAGTTCAAAAACCTCATGGTATCGCACGTATCGAAATTATTTGCGCCAAAAATCTTAAGCAAGCCGATTCGTGGTTTGGTGGTAGTGCTTCCGACCCTTTTGTTAGAATATCAAACATTGCCACAAGTTGGGTGTACGGTGATTCACGTGTCATCTACAACAACTGCAATCCCGTTTGGGAACAAGTCTTTTATATTCCAGTTTATGATGTTAATGAAAAATTCAATTTACAAGTTTTCGACTATAATGCTTTCTTTAAAGATACACTTTTGGGTTTCTATATTCTTGATCTCAAATCTATAATTAAAGAACTTCCTAATGGTTCTCTCGAAGGAAAGCAATTAAAACTTGATGCTAATCTCACTTATAAGGGAGTCAACAAAGGACAATTATCATTTATTGCTGAATTCTTTTCACTCCCTGAATCGGAATTAGATTTAGAGGTTATTAGCACATCTACTATTTCGATTCGACACTTATATCTCCTAATGACTTATCAAAGTCAATATGGATGCTTTGAACTTACTGACGCATTAGCAAGATTGTTCAACTATGCCTCTAAAGAAGAGCTTGCTAGTGCCTTTTCTGATTATGTACAAAAAGATGAAGGTGTTCATTGTTTGGATCATAAAGCTTGGGCTACTGTACTTGTCACATCTTTCCTCAAAGCATTATTGTGGGAGAAACGTCGTGAGTGGATGAATATTTACAGTAGGGCTGAAAGTTGGTTGAGTGAAAATGTTACCGATTCTGAAGTCGAAGAGCGTCTTTACAATTATTCAAACAAATTCGTTATTCAACGCTTTAAAGTTACTCAATGGATAGACGAGAATCAACAAATAAGTCTGGGAGTTCTCTGTAAGAAAAATTTTTTTTTTAATGAATCACATGTTAGTCGATAAATTAAAAAGTTAAGAAATTTGTGTTATGAATAAACTATTGTCTACATAGTTTTTAGTTCATCGATTTGCATGTGACTAGTATAAATCCTTGTATACAGATTATTAATCGATTTTTATTATATTGATTTATTAATCATTTCATATTACCACAGCCATATCTAGTAGACGGATCATTACCCGAAAACATGTTGATATCCGTATTGTTCGTCGATTCATCTCTTATCAGAATGAATCTGGTTGTTTCGAGCTCACCCCTCAATTGGCTGAAGCTTTGGGCTTCAGTTCGGTTGATGAAGCAAAGAAACACATTGAAGCTCATTTTTCTTCCTCACAAAGAACTGCTCAATTTGATGCTAACGTCTGGAGTACTGCTATTTTGATTTGGTTTATTCGATATGTATTAGTTGATTACAGATATGAGTGGGCAAGCATATACCAAAAAGCAAATGATTGGCTTTGTCAACAAGTGAAAGAAAAGGATGTTCGAGACGAACTTCTTGAATCTGCTAGAGACTTTGTTGTTAAAAGATTCGAAGTTGAAAAGGATGCTATTGAGGAAGACGAGTCATTCAAGGATTCTCTTGAAGCCAAGGATAGATATCATGAGCGAGGGATTGTAGACGACGAACAGCAAGATTTCATGATCCCTAGTGATGAAATTGTTGGAATAATTAGGATCTGTGTTAAAAGTGCTAAAGATCTCAAAAAATCAGATTTTTGGTTTTCCTTTTCTAATCCTGATCCATACGTCCGCATAATGAATGCTGCTGGAACTGAAATAGTTCGTACTCGTGTTAACCATGGAACTGTTAATCCAAAATGGGATGAAATTCATTTTGTTTCTGTTCATGGTTCGGGCGAAAAAATTTCGTTTGAAATCTTTGATGAAAATCTTTTTATATCAGACAAACCTCTCGGCACTTATGTCTTGGATACTAATACGTTAATGAAAAATGAAGATCTTTCTAAAACTATTAATGAGTGGTTCCCACTTGTAATTGGCAATAAGCCAGCTAAAGGACAATTAAACTTGGAAGTTCGATTTATCCCCACCGTCTTTAATGAGGGTGTGGACTTTATATTTACCCGAGAAACCATTAAACAAAATCATGTCTATATGCTTATCAGCTGGCGCAAAGCGAATCGATCCTTTGAATTCACTGAGAAATTAGCGCGTTTCTTTAATTATAAATCAGTCGATGAATTGAAAGAAGGTTTCCTCAATCACATATCTTCAGACCAAGAACTTTTAAAATACGATCTTCACGGCATTGACGTTTATATAATTCTAAAAGTTGTTCCTGAGATTCAAAACCGAATAGAT